TTTTATATACATACACACACAGATAGATACATAGATAGAAATATAGACAGATATATTTCACGTGCTGCCGGTGCTGCTAAATAGATAGATAGATAGAGATATATAGATAGATAGATTTCAGGTGCTGCCGGTGCTGCAGCTGGAGGGGACGAGGGGATTCTTGGCAGCTCTGAGGGGACACTTTGCCCCAGAATCTGCCCTTTCCCTCAGGGCTTCCACAGCGCAAACATTCACCCTCACGGCTCCAAAACCGCTGAGCGGGAGGCGCCCAGCACCTGGCAGGGTCTGCCATGGAGAACACCCTGGGCAGGGTGTTCACCCCGCGGCCCCTCAGGGCCGTGTTTGTGCCACAGCTTTGTTTTATCACCGCCCCTGAGGGGCCGCCGCCATTACAGGGGCCCGCCCTCCCTTCCTGACGTCACTTCCCGTTCCGGTAATGGCGGCGCCCTGAGCGTGTGGGCCGGCACCGCTGTCCCCGTCCCTGGCGCCACCACTGCCGCCGCTTCGCTGTCACCGCCGTCGCTGTCGCCGCCACCGCCACCGCCACCATGCACTCGGACGATGTGAGCCCGCCCGTCCCTTCGCTTCGGCCCGGCCGAGCGTCCGCCCCACGTGGCCGGCGGGGAGCGGGGGGGGAGCGGGGTGTGCCCTGTCCCCCACACCGGGGGTGGCAGATGGGCAAGAGGGGGGGATGTAAATGGGGGTTTGGCAGCAGCAGATGTGCTGTGCCTGCGCCCCTTGTGGCTCCGCACCCTGCCCTGCCAGCGGGGTGTCCAATGTTTGTGGGGTTCTCCCCGATAGAGCCGCACCGGGGGATGCTGGAGCAGGGAAGAGGGCCGGGTGAGGGGTGCCGGGGTGTGTGACCCGCTGTTTGTCCCCGCAGATTGTCTGGAGCATGCTGGGGAACAGGCAGTTCTGCTCCTACAAGATGACGTGAGTTTTTGGGGGGCACAGGGTGGGCTGAGCCCGGGGGGGGGGGCTGTGGGAGGGACACACTCAGGGGTGCCCCTCAAACCTCAGCATGTCCCCCCTGTGCCACCACGGCCACACATGAGGCTGCAAGGGGCAGGTGGGCAGTGGGGCGTTCCTGCCCTTCTCTACTTAATTTATTCCCTCTCACCCCTTTTCCAGCACCAAAACCCAGAACTTCTGTCGCAACGAGTACAACCTGACGGGGCTGTGCAACCGCTCGTCCTGCCCGCTGGCCAACAGCCAGTACGCCACCATCCGTGAGGAGAAAGGTGGGATCCCCTCTCCTGGGACGCCAGGAGGGATTTCCTGGTGGAAAGGGTGGCCAGGCATTGGAAGGGGCTGCCCAGGGAGGTGTTAGAGTCCCTGTCCCTGGAGATGTCCAAGGAATGACTGGACGTGGCACTCTGGGCTGGTGATGAGGTGGGGATGGGGCACAGGGTGGACTCGTCTTTCCCACTTGGATGCTCCTGTGCTCTGGCAGCTGCAGGGAGCCCGAGGGCGGGGAGGGGGTGAGTGGCACCTTCCTGAGGGCACCCTGGCTCTGGGATGTGCTCAGTGGGATCGTGTCTCCTGTTCCCAGGTCGGTGTTACCTGTACATGAAGACGATTGAGCGGGCGGCGTTTCCCCGGCGCCTCTGGGAGCGGGTGAGCTCAGGGGAGCAGAGGGGCCACAGAGGGGCTCTGATGCCCTTTACTGAGGGGCAGGGAGGCTGTCCCCACCACAAGAGGACACGGCCTCAAGCTGTGCCAGGGGAGGTTCAGGTTGGACATCAGGAGGAATTTCTTCCTGGAAAGGGTTGTTAAACACTGGAAGGGTCTGCCCAGGGAGGTGGTGGAGTCCCCATCCCTGGAGGTGTCCAAGGAACAACTCAGTGCCAAGGTGGGGATCGGGCACAGGTTGGACTCCATGGTCTGGGAGGCCTTTTCCAACCTCAGTGATGCTGGGAGCGATGTCACTGCTCCCAGATGTCCCTGCTGTGTAACTCAACTCTCCCCCTGTGCCCCCCAGGTCCTGCTAAACAAGAACTACGAGAAGGCTCTGGAGCAGATCGACGAGAACCTCATCTACTGGCCGCGGTTCATCCGGCACAAGTGCAAGCAGAGGTTCACCAAGATCACGCAGTACCTGATCCGCATCCGCAAGCTGACCCTCAAGAGACAGTAAGGGGCACCCCCAGTGGGCACTGGTGCCCCCCAGGACACTTACACCAGTTGCAGCCACGTTTCTAATGAGGAAAGTGGTGGTTGTAGCTCCCCAGAGGGTGAGAGATTCCCAACTGCCTGTTGTTCCCTGCAGGAGGAAGCTCGTCCCGCTGCGCAGGAAGATTGAGAGGCGGGAGAGGAGGCGAGAGGTAACAATGCTCCTTCTGTCCCCTCTGGTCACTGCTCCTGGGCCTCAGCCTGACAGCTCCTCTCTCTCTCTCCTTTAGGAAAAAGCCCTGATTGCTGCTCAGCTGGATAATGCCATCGAGAAGGAACTGCTGGAGAGACTGAAGCAGGACACAGTAAGGATCCCACTGGGAGCACACTTTAGTTTGATGCTGCCCGTGTGCAGGCTTTCCAAGTGTGCCTTCCTCCCGTGACTTATAGAAAATCCACTTTTTTTTTCCAGTATGGAGACATTTACAACTTCCCCATCCACGCCTTTGACAAAGCCCTGCAACAGCACGGGGCAGAGAGCGAGAGTGAGTCGGAGGCAGAGCAGGAAGAGGAGGAGGAGGATGAGGTAAAGCTTTCAGCCACTGCCCCATCACTCCTGCCCTGCCCTGGTGCTGAGCTGTGGCACTGCAGGGTGAGAAGAAGACATCAGGAGGGCTCAGGAAGCTTGGCCTTGGTGGCTCCTGTGCCATGAGTTGTGACCCTGTCGTGCTCAGCCCCAGCTCTGACTCTGTTTCTTGCAGGATGTGGGTACAAGGGAGTTTGTGGAAGCAGAGGAGAGCGAGCTCAGTGACTTTGAGGTAGGTGAAGCACCAGGTGTAAACTCTCTGGTCACCTCCACCCTTTGGTGTCTCTGGTGATGGGTAAGAGCCAGCAAGATCAGATTTGTGGAGGGTACAGTCAGACTGCAGTGTATCCACTCCAGCCCAGCTCCTCTGGTCAGACAGCTGGGAGCCAGGGATTATAGAAGGGACTTGGATACAAGAGGTAATTTTGGAGAAAGGGCAGGTTTAGTTGCACAGCTTGCTCTGACATCACTCTTGTCACTCAATTCTTTCTCAGGACATGGATAAGTTGGAGACAAGTAGTGAAGAGGAGCAGGAAGAGGAGGAAGAAGTAGAGAAGAAGGCCTCTCACTCCAAATCTAAAGGGAAAATGCCCCTGAAAGGACCAGCCAGGAGAAAACGTCCCTACATTGAAATAGAGTATGAAGAAGAAACAGAGCCAACCACCAAAACAAAAGCAGCCTGAGGCCTCCCTGATCCCATTTTGTACTGACTGACAGGACTCCAGATCTGTCACCAGCTTTCACCTCTGTGCAAGACCTTCAGTAACTCCTTGTTTTATACTCCAGATGAAAAATTTTCTCTAAGAAAAGCAGGGTTTCTGTCCCAACCCCAGGCAATGGCAGCAAGTTTGTACAACTGGATGAAGCACAGCTGTAAGGAAGAAGATCCCCCACCTTCTCTGCAGCCACAAAAAGCTCAGCTTGGACTGTGCTCCATGACAGGACCTGGCCTGGGGGGCACTGATGCTTTGGGCCGTGGCTGGAGAAGCCACACGTGGCCCAGGGAGTACACACGTGTATTTTGGGGGACATGGCAGGTATGGGGCCAACAGGTGGGACAAGACAGGCAGTAACTTTAAATAAATAAACCAGTTTTACTGTACAAAATTGGGGTGGGTGCTGTCAGCCTCCTCACGTGCTCTCCTGCACCTTCCTGATGCATTCCCGCACACGGTTCTCCTCACAGCTGCTGTACACCCCTTCCAGCAGCACCTGCAACAAGAACAGCATCATTCCTGGTGCCTTGGCACTGGAAAAAGATTCCCAGTGGGCTTTGTGGTGTTACCAACCCTCCCCCAGCTCTGTTGGGAGATAGCTGCACAGGGCACGGCTCGATACCTGTCGATAGGTGTGGAGTCACCAATTATTGATGCTTGACGAAGGAACTGGGCACCTGCACACCCCACACTGCCCCTCCTCAGGTGCTGAGCCCCTGACTCACCTTCACCTGCCCTCTGGAGCAGTGATCCAGCAGGATGAGGCACTGGGTGGCCCTTTGGAGCAGGGTGGCTCTGACGGGCTCCGGCGTCGGGCCCGGGTCCGTGTGAACGTCCCAGATCAGCCTCAGCAGGGCTTTGAGGAGCACGGGGAGCCTGCAGGGCATCCTGCCAGGGAGAACAGCACCACACCTCAGCCCAAAGCCTGCCCAAGCCAGGGGGAAGCACAGCTTTGCTGAGCAGTTCCTGGGAGCTGCCTAAGGCCAGCGTGCCAGGAGGGGACAGACCTGGACACACAGGTAACCTTGGGATGGAGTGTCAGGAATGCTGTCACTGCACAGCCTGATTCACAGCACAGGGCTCACTCCACAGAGATTTAACTTATAGCCAAGCTGATGCTTCCAGAACAGGCACAAGTTGGATCGAAATGAGGACCTGGCTTAATTTTTGGGCCAGATTTTTCAGCCAAGCAGCAATGCCAGTGACTCCTCCCTGGGACAAATCCTTAGGATTCCAGGGCCTGTTCCTCAAGCAGCATTAACTGACCCTTAAAGTGGACACACTCAGGCCAGGGTTTGTGTCAGGCCACAAACAAACCTTTTGGTGCACAGTGCCTGTCACCCCCGAGAGGTACCTGGGCCAGGCGTGCTCTATGGTGCACTGCAGTGTCTCCAGTATTCCCAGTCTGGCTTCTTCCTCAGGGCCATCAGAGACTTCCAGGTAGCCCAGGATGACTCGCTCCAGCCTCTTCAGGTGCCGCACCACCAGGATGCCGAGTCTGCAGGCACAGACACGGCCTGAGGGGGGAGGAGAGCCTTGGACAGCGAGGCCAAGGCCCGTCCTGGTTGGGTCACTGCTCTCCCCTCTGCTCTCCTCTCCTCACCAAGGCAGGCAGGGCCCCTGTGCACACCTGGCTCCTCTCCCCTCCCCAGCAAGGGCAGGGTGGCCAGGTACAGCTCTGAGCTCTCACCTCCTGACGAAGGCGGGCAGGATCCCCCCGTAGACCCTCCTCAGCGCCAGCCGATGCTCCCCCTCCATGTGTGTCAGGACCAGCTGCAGCACCTCGTCGCACTGGGAGCGGGGTCTCACCTGGCCCTGGTGCCCCTGGTGCCGCTGGGATCGCTCCAGGATGGGCAGCAGGTCCAGCAGGCACAGCAGCACTGCCTGGTTTGGGGACAGACAGCGGAGCTGAGCAATCCTGGTCACCTTCTCTCCAAAACACCAACCCTCTGACCACCCCCAGCTGCTGCTGCTCATCTGGCAGGCCCAGCTACTCCTACTCCCTGTGACCTGCCCTCCTCAGCAGGGCTGTCACCTGCCATGGTCCTCCCTCTGCTTTGGTATTTTCCTGAAATGCCCGAGTTACTTTGTCTCCAGGCCACAGGCAGTGGCTGGTAACAGCCTGAGTGGGCTGAGAGGGAACAGGCTCTGCCTCCTGCCCTCAGCTCCGGTGGGGCAGATGAACACCTCCACAGGGCAGATGAAAACCAGGCTATGGTGTCCTACCTGGATGAGAGGAGCCTCCCGGGAGTAGAGGTGGTTGTAGAGGGCATGGAACACCACCTGGGCCCTGTTGAACTGGCACAGATCTGCACCTGGCTGCAACAACACAGAGCAGGGGGTTAGTCCTGGGTACATCCAGCTACAGCCTAAGGAAAGAGCACAGCCCTCCCAAACCCTGGGACACCCTGGGCACGAGGAACTCTGCTCACAGGTGCTGGAAACGCAGGTTAAATGCTGCCACCCTCAGAAGCAGCCACTTCCTTCTCCTTATTTCACCTCCCCAGCTGCTGTAGCACAGTTCCACTGGCAACACTTGCTGCTGTCGGGTTGGGCTGTGAACTGGCTGAGATGTGGCACAGCAGTTCTCTGCTTTGTGTTACAGATGGAAGAACTGCACAGGTTTAACCACACGGGGACAGCGTGGAAGAGAGGGCAGAAGTGCTGGTTAACAGCAGAACCAGGAGGGGAAGTTAGGAATCCCAACAGGAGTCCAACCCACCCGAGGGAACGGCTGGAGCTGTGTCAGGGCAGTGTTAGGTTGGAGATCAGGAAAAGATTCTTCCCCCAGAGGGTGGTGGGGCACTGAACAGGCTCCCGAGGGTTTGGTCACAGCCCCAAGGCTGCCAGAGCTCAAGGAGTGTTTGGATAACGCTCTGAGGGATTCGAGGTCTCCCCTCCCTCACCACGTTGAGGACGATGTGGTGCAGGCACCGCACTCCCAGCACTTTGTTCTCCTCCTGGAAGTCGTCGGAGATGAGCAGTGAGGGCGGCAGGACCCGCTCCAGGTGAGGGCCCAGCCAGGGCCGGGTGACGTGGGGCAGCGTCCAGCAGAACACGTGTTTGGTGGCAGGGTTGCGCTTCCAGGTGTCCCTGGAGACACAAACACCAGCTCAGGGAACACTGGGAACAACGAGCACTGCTTTCCTGGGCACTGGGACCAGCTGACAGCAAACCCGGACTGATCCTCCCCAACATCTTCCACTGCTGGGCATTTGCAAAGCTCCTGGCCTCTAATCATGTGTTTTATTTATTAATTAATAGATATTATTCATTTACCCCCTTTATATCTCATGTTTGTAACGCCTGAGCTCAGTGCCCCAAAGGCTTCCAGCATTCCCCACACAGTCACCCAAACAGCCTCCCCTCCCTACTCACTTGGTTAACTCCTGTTTCAGGAGCCCCATCACTGCTCCAAACCTTCCTTCCTCATCCTCATCCTCCTCCTTTCCCCGCAGGAATTCAGCCACGGACGCGCAGCCCGCGGCCCGGACCAGCGTCTCCAGCAGCTCCCGGGCCACCGCCCGGCTCCTCTCGGTGGTCCAGGGCCGCTCCTCGAGGTGTGTGACAGCGAAGACGTAGATGTGTCCCAGCACACGGCGCAGCGCGGGACCCACCGCGGGCGCCCCGGGGCATTCCTGGCTCCCCCTGGCATCCTCCAGCTTCTTCAGCAGGAGGGCAAACACGGCGCCCACCTGCTGCGCCCTCTCTGCCGCAGCAGCGTGCTCCCTGCCCCGGCCGGGGGGCTCCGATCCGTCCTGCTCCCGCCCCGGGGGGGCCGCGAACTCGCCCAGCGCGGCCGCCAGCTCGCCCAGCGCCGCGGGGCTGCCGGGCCCGAGGACGAGCCACCGCGGGTCCGCCGCCTCCAGCAGCTCCCTGAGGGCTCCGGGGCCACCGGACAGCGACAGCCGGGCCTGCAGCAGCACCTGCTCGGCCGAGGGGACCGAGGGGCGCGGCGGCGGCTGCTCGGGACCCCCCTCCGGCCTCAGGCCACTGACATCCATGGCGCGACCCGGCAGCGCCTCCCGCGCCCTAAAACCGCGCTAAATACACATCCCTGCCGGCAGCAGCGCCTCCCGGGGCGCGGAGACCCCCGAGAGACCCTCAGAGACCCCGAAAACCCCTGAGAGACCCTTCAGAGACCGCCGGTCCCTGCAGCACCTCCCGCACCGGGGGCTCGAACTGTCGCAAAACACCCCGCTGGCCGTAAAGCCGGCGAGCCAGGGGGGGCGTGGCGCCGCGAGAATAAATTACCATGGATAATTAGCGGCGAAAATGCGGGGAAGGAGGGGCGGTGCGGGGCGAAAAGGGCGAAACGGGGGGATGCGAGGGGACAAACCGGTGGCGCGGAGCGCACTGTGTCGGTGCCAGGGGAGAACTACACAAGCTTAGATCGCCGTGAGTGCGATAGAAGTGGTGCGGCGGTAGGTCTGGGCGCGGGAGATTAGTTGACTGATCCTTCCGGTTCATGACCATGATGAATGGGATGGACACGCGCCTGCGTGACGTGTGCGCCCTCAGTTACGACATCGCACAGTCCCTTCTGACCGCCGGGGGGTCCTGACGTCACCCGTGACGTCATATTTACAGTTGTAGTGTTAAAAATAGTTATATCAGGAAGGTAAAGGGAGTATGGGGGGGGCTATTGACGTCATTGCTGGCGTGATCACAGCTTGGAGGTGTCAAAAATCAGTGGAAATGGGGGCCTGTGATGTCACTGCTAATGGGGCCTGTGATGTCACTGCTGATGTCATCGTCACTTAGAGGTGTCAAAAAACAGTGGAAATGGGCAAACTGGGCGGGGCAGGGGAGGGGGGCCCAGCTTTTGGGCTGTGCTTATGCCCTCTGTGGCACTCGGGGACGGGGGGTCTCAGCATCCCCCCTTGGGCTTTTTTGGGGTCCCCCCAAAATGCCCCTGTGGCTCCTGGGGGTCCTGGGCCCACCCCTTGCACTTTCTTGGCCCCCCCTGAAGTGCCCCCACGGCACCAGGGGGGGGGTGTCTCAGCATTCCCCCCTGACTCCCCCTGAATGGCCCCACAGCCCCCACAGCTCAGGCTGGCTGAGAAATCACCATTTAATAATTTTTTACACAAAACTGTACATTCCCTCCACGCCCCCCGAGGGTGTAGGGGGGGAACAGGTACAAAAATACTCTGTACAGCAAAGTTGGGGGCGGGGGAGGACACGATACCCCCCCCTCCCCGACCCCATGGGGGGCTCAGCTCCCCACAGGGAATCCCGGGAGGTCCCAGCTTTGTGTGGAACACAAAGGGGACAACACAAAACCCCAACCAAAAGCCATGACCCCCCAGTTAAAAAACCCAGCTGGGAAATTCAGGACGAGCCGTGTGGCCCCGGGGCAGGGGGCAATGCTGCACGTGTGGAGCTGCGATCCCACAATCCCACGATGGATCCCACGGGATGAGGCCGGTCTGGAGCAGGGCTGGCTCACACCAGCTCGTCCAGGAGGGTCCCGATGCCGGCACGGGGCTGAGCCGGGCCAGCCATGGGCTTGTTGCACATGGGGCACACGCAGCGCACCTCCAGCCACTTCACCAGGCACCTGCGGGCGGGGACACGGTGGAATTCCAGCCCTGCCGGGGAATTCCCCCTTTTCCCAAACCCCCACTCACTTCCTGTGGAAGGTGTGCTGGCACGGCAGCACCCCCAGCTCCTCCTTGGCCCTGAAATCCTCCAGGCACACGGCGCAGGTCTGCTGTGGGAGGTGACACCATGGGGAGGGCGGGTGTGAAATGCTGGGGAAATCCCGGGTGTTTCCAGCTGGGAGCTCTGCTCAGTTCCCAAACCGCCTCCAGGGAGGAGGATTCCCTCCCAGTCCCCAGCCTTGTGGTTCTGGCACATCCACACATCACATCCCAAACATTCCATCCCAGTCCCAGCACATCCCCACACATCCCCCAGACATCCCATCCCAATCCCAGCACATCCACACATCACATCCCCAACATCCCATCCCATCCCAGAGCCAGTAGATCCACACATCACACCCAAAACATCCCATCCCATCCCAGTCCCATCCCATCCCATCCCAATCCTACCACATCCACACATCACATCCCCAGACATCCCATCCCATCCCATCCCATCCCATCCCATCCCAGTCCCAGCACATCCCCACATCACATCCCTGTCCCACCCTCCCCATCTGCTCCTGAGTTGCCCTCGGCCCCCCCTGGAGCAGATGGGAAGCGTCCTCAGCATTATCCCTGTGAACCCCAAATCCACCCCGAGCCAGAGGTGGCCCCGCTCACCCCGTGCAGGTTCAGCCTCCGGGCATCGCCCTTCAAAACCACCTGAGGGAGAAAAGGAGGGAGAGGGTCGAACACCGGGAAGGAGGATCCTGCCCCGGCAGGGGCTGAACGGGGCCGGGCAGGGGCAGGGTGAGCCCAGGGGTGTTTTGGGGCAGGCTGTCCCATCCCGCCCCTTTGGAAGGTGCCCTCCTGGGACAAGCAGCCTCAGGCCCTGCCCTGTCCCCTCCTGCCCACCCCAAACCTGCCCAGGGCGTTACCTCCTTGTACCCGAAGTGCTCGCTCTGCGCCTGGTGCCGCAGTTTGCTGCAGAGGGGGAGAGAAAGGCACCGTGAGCGTCACGGCCACGAGTGAACAGCACGGCCAGGAACATTCCAGGGGCACAGGGAATCCGGGGAGCACGCCCTTCCCGGCCGGGATTTGGGGATCAGCAGCTCTGAGGCTGCCTTTGGGCAGCGGGCAGGGCCAGCCCGAGCTGCTCCCGCGGGGCAGGAACGGGATGCCAAGGGCTGGCAGCCCCGATTGTTTGCCTTAGGAAGTCGTTCACGGCGCAGGAAGCGCTGGATTTCCAGCCGGCAGCTCCCGGCCCTGCCGTGACCTTGGGTCGGGAAAACCGCCTGGCACAGAAACCCGGCGGGAACGGGGAGGAAGGGGCAGTTTGCAGAGGGGCTTCTGTTCCCAGCGAGGCACCAAAACACGCTTCCACAGCCCCAGAAAACTTCTGGGGGACACAGGGGACACGGGCAGGACTGAGCCAGCCAGGAACAGCAGCAGCTGCCCCGGCTTTGGGGTTAAAAATAGCCCTCCCCGAACAGGGAGCCGTGTAAAGGCACATCCTCCCTCTCCCTGCCCGACACAATGTGTCCCTCCTGCCGTCCCCTGGAAAACAAGAGCCCCTTCCTGCGCTTCCTGCTCTGCTCCGGGAGCTGCAGGGACCACGATCCCAGAGGGGGCTTGTCCTCATGTTCTGGGACAGGACAAGGGGAGCTGGGAAGGGCCGGGGGTGCCCCAGGGCTGCCCACCCACCCCCTGGCACAGCCCCCCTGGCTCACCTGATGAAGTAGCAGCAGAAGATGAGGCTGAGCACGAAGATGAAGATGCCAGTGCCGAAAATGACCATGTAGATGTTGAGGGGCAGGTCCTGGAAGGTGAGGGGCGGCATCGTGCAGGGTTTACTGGGGTAAACCAGCCCCAGGCTGCAGGAGCACCCTTGGGGGAGAGCAGAAAAGTCAGTGTTGAGGGTGGAAAAAGGGGGAAAGGAGGTGAAGATGATGTGCTGTGAGAGCAGGGAGAGCCTGGGCTGGCTCTGTCCCCTCTGGAGTTTGCAAAGTGGGCAGAAACCAACGCCAGGACATCGTCCCGTGAGCTGTGATCCTGTGAGATCTGTGAGATCTCCCCTGGAAGAGCAGCAGCCCCTCAGAGCAGCTCAGTGAGGCACCAGCAGCTCCATTTCCACAGCCACCAAACCCTCCTCCAGCAGCACAAATGTACCCCAGGCACAATGCAGGCGGCTGGGAGACCAGGAGGCCCCGTGCTTTCATCTCCAGAGGAACACATGGAGGCTGGAAAGGGATTTAGGGAAGGACAGAGCGAAAAAAAAAACCACCCCAGCTTGAAAAACAAGAACAGTTGGTGTCTGTCACTGCACTGTGGGAGCAGCAGAAGCAAGAGCTGGTTTGTCCTCGGTGCTGGGGACGCTGATCCAACCCCCTTTCCCAGCAAAACCACGGGTGCCAGTCCCACCCTGATGCCCAGAACACCACGGGGGACATGTGGGTGTCACACAGGGCTGGTGGCAGTGGGAGGGTCCCACTGAACCGAGGGGAACAGGCACAGAGACCCCAAGCCCTGAATACATCTCAGAACGTGCTCCCCCAAGAGCTGGAGCTCTGATTTCCCCTCAGCTCTCACCCAGACAGGACTTTAGAAGGAGAGGAGCTCCCTCTGTGCCCCACAGAGCAGCTCCCCCGGGCCCTTCCTCCCTCTCAGCACCCTCCTCCTCCTCAAAAACCTCCTCCACTGTGCCTCTGGAGCAGCACCAGAGGAGAGCCTGCACCGTAGGAAAGGGGGTTTTGTAGGAAAGGATTTGCTTGCTGGTCCCCCTCTCTCCTGGCCTCCCGAGACCACCAGGTGCAGGAAAAGACAATAGGAAAGGTTTCATTATTTTTTGCCATTTCCTTGCTGGAAATGATTTGAGAAATGCTCAAAAAAAAAAAAATCCCACCCAAATCAAAACAAAACAAAACAAAGCATATACAGCTCTGGAAAAAAAAACCAAACACTGAGCAAGGACATGAGGTAATGTTGGTGCACCTGGAGGAGGGACAGGGGTGGATGGAGGAAGCCAGGCTGGGCACAGGGAGGTGGGTGGTGGTAACAATAATGGGCCACAGTGAAAAAATAACCCTTCCCATGGGCGTTCCAGGCCATTCCCGGGAGCTGCTGAGGAGCACCAGCCCCTGTGCCACAGGAGTGGGGACAGGAAGGGTCCCAAAGGTAGAGCCTGGAGAGGGGAGAAGGGCTGAGAGCCAGCAGGGCATGGGCTGGACCTGCTGGTGGCCACCTGTGACGAACTGGAAAAGCCCTTGTGTGGGATGGCAGGAGAAGAATTGGGATGGGAAAGCCCTTGTCTGGGAGAACAGGGGGAGAATTGGGATGGGAAAGCCCTTGGAAAGTCAGGGATAGCGGGAGGAGAATCAGCTCCCCAGAGAGCAGGGAAAGCTGGGATGTGCATCCTGCAGGTTTTCCAGGAGAAGCATCAGGTGGGATGGGAAGGAGAACCCCAAGAGACACAAACCCTCCCCAGCACACCCCTCTGTGCTCATCTGAGGGGCTCCAAACCCAGTGCACGACCCCAACCAGCCCCTCCAGCCCCCCTGCTCTGCACGGGGCCATC